ATCAGATGTTTGGAAGATGGAGCTGAAGATTTCTTTCTGAAACCAGTTCAATTATCGGATGTAAAGAAGCTGAAGCCTCATTTGATGAAAGGAAGATATAAAGAAGAAACAGATCATCAACAATTCAATAGCAACAAAAGAAAGAGCATTGAAGAAATTGATTCATCTACTGATAGAACAAGATGCAGATACAATGATGAGTTGGATACTGATACATCATGATATCAGTTTTATTAATATTTGGGGGCTAATGCTGATGATCACTAACTTGCTATGCTCATGGAAAAGGAAAATATTCATTCTTATTAATTAGGGATTTCTTAGGGATTTTGTGTAAAACCTACTCTTTTTTTTATTCTTTTCTTTTCTCTTCTCTTCATGTATAGAAATTTTTGGTTTTCACATCATAGTTTGATTTGAAAGAAGAGAAATGAAATGGAAAAGGGAAAGTATTGATTCTCGATTTTGTTGGGTTGGTAACCCAAGAATATTTCTTACAATTGATTCTGTATTTACTCCCTACCCTACATGGTTAATTTACAATGGCTATGCTACATGTATCATGTACCATGCAATATGCGTATGAAAACAAGACAACATTACATTAATTAATTATTTAAAAAATTTACTAAATACAAGCTGTCTAAATTCAAATGATTATATAATAATCTAAAAATAATATGTTAGCAGTACATACTATATATGAATATGATTCGGACAGTTAGAATTAAATATCAGTGGTTTGTGCACCAATTTTCATAAGTAAGTTGTTAAATTTTTTTAATATCTTGATAATGATTAAAATTCGGAACATAATATTTCCATGCTAAAGTCTCTTATCCCCCTAACCCCTAATTGTACTTGTTCAAAAAATACAAGTGGTTTGCATAAATGGTTATCGATGAGATCAGCAGACCTTTAATTGCATTTTCTCAACTTTCTTGAGATGCTCTCCATCCTCCATTGCAGCTTTGGGTTTGCATAAATGAGAGCAATTGGAATATTGGGTGCAATGGGTTTTGACTCGGTAATCGGTAACCGACACGACACGACACGACATGGCACGGCACGACCAAACATGACTCGGACTTTCTCAATTCTGTCTGAACTTGCTTCACTAGTTACTTCCCTAAACGGGCCGTTAACGGGCTGATGACTCTCCAAAATTTGGCGACGCTCTAACCCAAATCCAAAATTTGACAGTTACTTTGAATTGGATTGCCTTGGCCCAAGACATGACCCGTTATCCACTTTTTTTTATTAGGTAAAAGGACAAGACGCGGGTCGTATCTAATCTGTAGCTATTTCCACTCGCAAACGTGAAAGGTAAAGTAAAATCTTATTTTAAGCCCCTGAAATAATCCTATTTTTTCATATAAGCTTCTTACCTACTTTTCGAGCAAATAAGCCCCTATCTCCTTTTTTTTTTTTTTTTGGTAATAAGAGAGATAGCATAGAAATTTAAAGTACTACAGTAGTCTTGGGAATCTTGTTCCCAATAATATCCGAATACAAAACATTGCAAAGATCATAAGGGCATTGTTCAAGCACAACAAAATGAGAATCCAACTTTGCACCCTGCTTAGCCAATCCATCAGCAACCGCATTAGCTTCTCTGAAAATATGGTTAAGTTGAAGGTTGGGGATTTGTGTCATCATAGCCCTACAATCGTCAATTAAAACACCAAATGAGTGATAAACAAAATCAACAGAGTCAAGAAGTGTTTATGCGACTTTAGAATCTGTTTCAACAAGTAAATGGGAAAACCCCCTATCAATAGCAAGTTTGAGACCATCTTTTAAAGCCCATAATTCAACCGAAAGGTTGGACGTGCATCCAACATTCCGGTAGAACCCCAACAGCCAGTTCCCAAGCTCATCCCTGAAAACTCCTCTAGCCCCCGCATCACCCAAATTTAAGTTAGCTAAACCATTTGTATTCAACTTAATAAAACCAAGTGGGGGCGAGTTCCAACCGACAAAAAAGTGGAAAAAGATTTAGTGTTTGAAGAAGCAAGGTGAAGCTGATTATACGCATTGATTTTAGTCAAAATAAAGTCTCTAGCCACGACAATAGAGATTTTCTTCCTTTCATGAACTAGTTGATTTTGACAATACCAAAGGGACCAAATAATGTAGGAGAAAGAAGTACTCCATTTCCTACCATCAGAAAAACTAGCGTGAGTAGAGTGGGCATAAAGCCAACCATCAAAATCCAAATTTAGGTAAAGAGTGTTAATAGGATGAGGAGTGAGGAGAGACCATAACAGTTTGGCAAAAAAACACTCTCTAAAGACATGGTTAATGGTTTCAGGAGCCTGATGACATCTGGGGAAAATATCAGAGTCCACAATGCCCTAATTAAAAAGGGTTTCATAGGTAAGAAGTCTGTTATGCTTCAATAGCCATAGAAAAAACTAAATTCTTGGAATAGTGTCCACCCTCCACACCCATGACCAAAAGCAATCACTATGAAGAGGTAGATTTTTTGCCAAATAATACACAAACTTAGACTTAAATAGACCATTAAAACCCAAGTAAATGTATCAACTCCTAGATTAGAGTATTGAAGAGGGATGGCCTTGAGTTTATTGACAATTTCAGTAGGAAGTGAATAAGCAATCAAGTCCCAATTCCACTCCCTGGATGGTAGTCAAGCATCCTTCACAGTGATATGAGAAGAATCAGGTTCATGTGGTGCCTTATCTCCTTTAATAAAACACAAAGTTAACAATGCTCCACCCTTGATTGAGCATCAGGCAAAAGTCCATCATTTCTCATCTATGCTTGTATGACATTTACTTTTATTTTTTCACATCAAAGTAGCTTAATAATTATACTTATATGCTTATTAATTGCTCTAGTTAGTATTATTGAAAAAAGAATGTGTCATTCTAAGTATAGTGTCAACAAAAAAAAAAACACACACACACACACACACAAAGATGCACACAAATAGGTTTGGTTGAATTTTTCTTTTTTGATATAACTAGCTATGATAATACGTAATGTTCTAGGTTTACATATTTCTAACATAACATTTTTAAGGCATTGACAAACCTCATTCTGAAATTTATCAAACAAAATAAAATTTTCATTCTAAATGATAAAATTGAGAATCTGAGATGCCATGAAATCAATACATGTGTTGGCCTCCTTATAAACATGGCAAAGTTTGTAGCTCCACTATCTTATACTCGTTGTAAAGTTTTCCAAATCACAAATAGTTGAATATGAATGGTCAAACCAAATCCTAGGTGCTATGTTAATATGAAACACCATTGCCCATTATTATGACTAAGACAGTCTTTCAATTTGAGTTTGTTTGTTTGTTTGGTCTGTGTGTGTGTGTGTGTTTTTTTTTTTTTTTTTTTTTTTTTTTTTTTTTTTTTTTAACTCATCTCATCTCGAGGAGTTACGGGGCTTATTTGTCTCAAAAGTAGTTTAAGAGGGGCTTGAGATAATGTTTTGACAAGGCCAAGGACGGGGCTTGACGTCAGCCCCTTCTGCTCTTCTGTAAAGGACGAGGCGGCACAGCCACCATAGTCGTTCGCGTCAACCGATTCAGAAACCTGCATCCTTTGTTTCGCTATGATTGGGCATGTATTCTTCTAAGCACCGCAACAACTTGGTCTCTACATCACCAGCTCTCTCAACGGTTAGGTTTCCGCTTTCCCGATGTACAATTTTACAAATATATATATATATTTTTTTATTTATTTTTATATATGATAGCTTATCATCCTGCTTCGAATTCAATTGATTCTTGCTAAGTTAGACTGGTATTTGAATTCTTCAGCTCCGGCTATCTTCGTTTTTTTAGATTTATGATCATGTAAGAAGTACTAGGTGAAACCTTGAAAGTCAGAAATTTAATGAAAATTTCTCAGGTTTTCGGTATGTTGGTGAAAATATTGGGAGTACTGGAAAGATAACGAATTCAATACAGATAGATTAGTTTACACAGTTAAGCTGCCTTCTAAAAGTATTTAAGATACTTTGCTTGGGATTGACTTCTTGTTGCAGGTATGTAACTCTTGGGGAAAGAAGCCTGTTTTTTTTTTTTTTTTTTACCTATAATGCAAGTTTGCTTTTGTATCTTGTAGTATTTATTTGTGTGTTTTCTTCTGGGTTCAGAAATCTCAAGGACATCTTGCTCTGGGGTTCGGAGGGGTTAGCAAAATCTCCATTTTTTAAAGGTATTTTTAGTCCTCTTGCCTGTGTGTTTTGATTACCCAAGTGTTTGGTGACCTGGTACGGTTATTGTTCTGAAAATTCCCCTAGACTCAAACAAAACCAGAAACCAAATGGAAGACAGACAGCAAGAGAAAACAACTTGTGATATCCTTCCAAATCTTCTCTCCTCATTTGTGGACACTTTTGTTGATTTCTCTGTTAGTGGCCTTTTCTTACCCCAGCAAAATTCCCCAACTACTATGTCCAACTCCAGTAATCTTCCCAAGACCTACTACCCACCTCCTGACCGTCTCATTGCCATTGGTGATCTTCATGGTGATCTTGAAAAATCCAAGCAAGCCCTGCGTCTGGCTGGGCTTATTGACAGAAACGACTGTTGGTCTGGAGGGTCTGCCACTGTGGTTCAGGTTGGGGATGTGCTTGATCGTGGTGGGGAGGAGCTCAAGATTCTTTATTTCTTGGAGAAGCTGAGACGACAAGCTGTAAAAAGTGGTGGTCAGCTGATAACAATGAATGGTAATCATGAGATAATGAATGTAGGAGGTGATTTTAGGTACGTGACTCGAGAAGGCTTGGAGGAATTTAGCAATTGGGCTTATTGGTATTCTGTAGGGAACAAAATGAAGAGCTTGTGTGATGGTTTGGAAAAGCCTAGGGACCCATTTCTTGGCATTCCCTCTTCTTTAGTTGGAATGCCAGTTGGAATGCCAGAAGAGTTAAATCATGGAATCAGAGCTCGAATTGCTGCATTACAACCCGATGGGCCAATTGCATGTCGATTTTTATCAAGTAATGTAACAGTTTTGGTGGTTGGGGAGTCAGTTCTTGTGCATGGAGGACTTCTAGAGAGTCATGTGTCTTACGGGTTGGAAAAAATAAATGAGGAGGTGAGAAATTGGATTAACGGGTTGATGGGGCCGTCAGCACCACGGTTTTGTAGAGGAAGCAATGCAGTTGTTTGGTTGAGGAAATTTTCAGATGAGATAGCACAAAATTGTGATTGCTCACTTCTTGAGCATGTTCTTGCAACTATTCCTGGAGCAAAGAGAATGATTATGGGTCACACCATTCAGAAGATTGGGATTAATGGTGTTTGTGATGATAGAGCCATTAGGATTGATGTTGGAATGTCAGAAGGGTGTGGCAATGGCTTACCTCAGGTTTTGGAGATAAACAAAAATTCAGAAATAAGGGTGTTGCCATTAAAGCCTATGTATCAGAACAATCACAAAGCTTTCATGGATGCTGACAGGATGAAGGGGCGCAATTTTTTGACACAGGATCACAGGCAGAAACAAGTGGAAGTGAAAGCTTAAGACTTGGGACCTCATGAGTGCGTATGGCATTAGGGATTTTACATTGTTGCTCTCCGTATATTCAAATCTTGACTTAATCATTATTTGTGGTGGAGAAATTCATCAAAACAGATATTGGTTTGTCTTTGGGATTGTTGCCAATTTCTATTCTCTTCTAGTGTTCTCTATGTTACCTTATATTATGTTTGCTGTACTTTGCTTAATAGCCAGCCCTGTGCCATTCTTTCATTGGAATAAGAACTCGCCATACATTATTATTCTTTGTCTCTGTTTTTATGTGAATTAACGCGGAGGATTCTATGAATGTGATGATCTGATTTTGACACTCTTTTTTAACCTTCATTTTCTGTTTTACTAGCAAAATAGCCCATTCTACCTTACAAAGTATTTATATTATCATGTGTTATTATAAATTTATAATTATGTAATTATTTAAGCCTTCACTTGTGATTGTATATTTCACTTATTTAATGATATATTATAATTATAAACTTTCACTCTTATGTGATATTATAATCATAACTTGTTGATTGCTGATGATTTATTTGACAAGAAAAATCGCTTATGGTGGTATGCTTTTCATAAAACGCCATAACATATACAGCACGTAGGATTGTGATGTATATAGGTTTAGTGTAATAAAGGTCATTTTTCTAAAATTTTGTTTAGAGAATTTATCTAAAAATTCATATTTTAATTCTCTTCATGTAAATCTATCAATTTTCATATTGATATAACATATAATTTCTTGATAAAAATTTTTATTTATTGATATATATTTAATAATATTAAATTTTGTGTAATTAATAAAGTAATTAGGTTAACTAAAATAATCTAAAAATTGACATGTATAATTTATATTAATAGAATAACTAGAATAATCTAAAAATGGAGTATAATTTATATTAATAGAATTTTTAATTTAATGAATAGTTTTTCAAAATATTAATTAAAAAATAAGTTTTTAAACAAGTTTTCCAAAAACACTTTTAAAAAAGAGTATGTTTTTGGGTACATTTGGGCCATGTTTGGTATAATAGTTAAAATTAAGTGGATAATAGATAGTGAATAATAGTAGCAGGTAACATATAGTAAATAATAATTTTAATTAATATAATTGTTTGATTATATAATGGTTAGCTCTTTTTTTGTATGAAAATAGTTAGCGGTTGTTGTACAATATTAAATGACTAACAAAGACATTTAAAAATAATTAAATGTATTTATATATTTTTTATTATTAAAATTATTAATTTTATAAAAATAATAAAATAAATAAATAAATAAAATATATTATAAAACGAAATCACATAATCATTTCTATTTTTAATGAAGAAAAAATTATGTTATTTTTAAATAAAGAAAAAAAATTTTAATCATTTTGTGTAATTAGTAAATTTTGTTTATTAAACTAATACATTTTTTATGAAAAATGAATGTAAAAAATAAAAATATAATAAACATTTAATATTATTAAAGGCAAAAAAAATTTAAACTAATTAGATAAGTATTAATTAAAATCGATGGCCAAAAACTAAAAAATTAAAAAAGATAAATTTGTCAATAAAATTAAAAAGTTTTTAATTCGTTAGTGGTTCGAAATAAAAAGCTACCTAAGTTTTTTCAAGGCACATCTAATATAACAATTTGAAAGTAACGATTAACGATTTTACTTAAACCACTAACAATAAATGTTTAGTAAATTTATTTATTTCAAAACGAATTAAAAAAGCCACATAAAGTAGTTTTTTGAATCAAGCTACTAATGGATTAGAATTTTTTTAATTTTATTAACAAATTTATCATTTTAATTTTTTAATTTTTTGCCATGGTTTTTAATTGTTGACTCAATGCACTCCAAGAGAAAGGTGAATTAGAGTTGAAAAATTTTCACCTATTTGTAACCACCAAACAAAAATTAAAGAGAGTGTAGAAAGGAAGAACTTATACAATGATTTTATAGAGGTTCGATCTAACCACTTAGAACCTAATCCTCTACCTTAACTTCATTCATCAAGGATTTCCTCCACATTCTCCACTAAAAAAAACAAGGGTAGCTTAAAAGGGCTAACTCAATTCTTTAACAAGAAGATGAGTGTTTTTCTCAAATCTTACCATTTTACAAGATAAACCCCAAGAATCATTTCTACAAATCACTCTTGAAACAATAATCACATCTCCAAGATAACACACAAGTAGAATAAAAAGAGGATTACAAGCAAAGTACTCAAAGATTAAAAACTCAAGTTAAAGCACAAGTAGGTAAGTAGAGATATTCAATACAATGCTCTAAAACTGCTCACAGATATGCTACCAACCATATTTATAGCTTTTTGGTCAAAAATAGTTGTTTTTAACCGTCGAGGATTATTAAATGCTCTGCCAATCGTATAATTTCAAGTTGTAGAATTGTCAATACAGCTGGTTTTGTATAGCCGACTTAGAGTTCTACAGCTGGTTTTGTGGGTTTCATACACATTCTATTTTCTTGCACAGCCGACTGTAAAATATAAAGTCGGCTTTGGGATTCCGACTTTAAAAACATTAAATAATTTTCAAATAACTCGACCGTTGTGCATTAAATACGTCATCACAATCGACTGCAAAATTGAAGCCGGTTTTATGTTCGTTTTCCGCGCACGCCAAACTTCAAACTTAAATTTCACCAATAAAGTTGGCTACGACTTTTAAAGTCAGCTCTTTGCATATTTTTCAACATTTTTGGTCTTTTTTAGTGCAGTCCAAGTTCATTTACTTTTACAATCTTTTATAAGTTTAACTACACATTTAAATAAATAAATTAGTCATTCAAATGTATTTTGTAATCATTAAAATCATAGGTAAAACATTAATTAATATTTATCTAATTAATCTTAACTTTATTTTTTGTTTTTAATAATATTAAGTTAGTATTATATTTTTATTTTTACATTAATTTATTTTGAAAATATATTAACTTAATAAAAAAAATTTCTAATTAGACAAAACAATTAAATTTTTTTTATTTTATTTAAAATTAATATTATTTTTATTAAAAATAAATATTAGTGTATGATTATATTATTATAATTTATTTGTTTATTTATTTATTATTATTTTTATAAAGTTAATAATTTTAGTAATAAAAAATGTAAAAAATACACTTAATTGTTTTTATACATATCTTTATTAGTTATTTAATTTTAAACAACAATAACAAATTATTATCTAACTAAACAATTACATTAATCAAATTCATTGTTTACATCCACTACTTGCTTTCCACTATCCGTCATCCACCATCTGTCATTCACCATCTGCCATCCACCATCTATCATCCACCATCCGCCATTTGCCATTCACCATTCGTTAACTGCTACCCATTACCCATTATCTGCTAATCGATATTATTATTCACTATCAGCTATCCATTATCCACTAAATTTTAACTGCTATACCAAAAGATCCTTAATTCGCTAACGTTTTGGATTCTAACTATTAGCCACGAGTCTTAAATAGCAAAATAAATTTTTTTATCAAATACCTTGTTTACAATTGTTTCAAAATATATAAATATACTAAACACATATCCTTAACGTTTTGAATAAAACTACTAATTGTCACTCTAAAATTACTATATTAAATGGGTCATTGACGATGAGTTACATAAAAAGTGATAGTTTTTTCTTATTTTTTAGATCTCTTCTTGCCTTGACTTAAGATTTGAATATAAAATCACTAATTTAAAATCTTAGATTTTTAACCAACTGACTTAAAAAAGAGTATATACTATTTTAGTAACTAGGTTTTTTTAATTTGTATCATACTTTAGTAATTAGTTTAGTTTATTGTACTTTTTTATTAATTAACTTGAGAAAAATATAAAAATTATTATTAATTTTAATAATTATTTAATTAAATTTATTCAAATAACAATAATACTAAAATTAATATAATTTTTTATATTTTTTATATAAATTAATAAAAAAAATACAATAACTACCCTTTTAACCGTACAACTAAAAAACCCTTAATAATATTAAATGAAATGTGCAAAGGAAAATCAAAGAATGAAAAAATAATAATAACGAAAAGAAACGTACGACCAGAAGATACAACAGCCGTTAAAATATTCCGGCAAATCTCTCTCTTCCACGTGTCCTAGCATCTGAGCCGTCCAAGTGTATCTGATCACAATCAGATGAAGGGTTCAGAAATTTCTCAACTTAAAATACGTGTCATTCCACACAATATTAGCACAGAATCTCTGAGTGCTTGAGAGAGAAGAAAATGGCGACAAACTCTGACAACAGCGGCGCGGGCGGGAGTGGTGGTGGCGGCGGCGGCGGCCTTCACCTTTGCATGACGAAGTACGTGGACGACGGGAGTGTGGAGAGCTACAGGTATTACTTGGCCCGCAAGACTGTGTTGGAGATGCTGAAAGACCGTGGTTATGACGTGACTGATTCGGAGGCTACTTGCTCACTCGCTGCGTTCCGTGCGGTTTTCGGCGACAAACCTGAGCCGGAAAGCCTCCGTTTGTGCTTCCCTCACCCCTCCAACTCCTCCAAAAAGGTAAATCATTCCTCTAGGTGTAAAAAGCAAGAAACTTTTTGCGAGTTTTATGTTTCTCTGGTGTTTGGAAGAAGTTTTCTAGGCAGATATGTATATAACAGATGAGTTTCGCAATGCCAGGTCTTGTGTCCGGTTATTCTGAAAACTTCTGTTTGGTTGTAAGGAAAACGGAGGAAAATGTGATATTTTGCTTTCGCATATCTCTGTACGAACACACTGCTTCTGAAACACAACAAAAGCACTTTTCTGTTGTTCGAGCTTTAGGTATATCAATAAAAGAGAAATGATATTGTTTCAATAACTTCATTTGTTTTTTTCAATTCTTGGTCAGATCTAATCTAACAATAGCTCTTCTTTTTTTTTCATTTGTTGGGTGGAATAGTAAGAAATTTGTTGATACACAGTAGAAAAATATAAAGTGCTTTAGAAAAAACTAATATTGGACAACGATGACTTAATTAAAAGAAATTGCTTTTTTTTTTTTGAACAACAACAATTTTTGAAGAATGGGGTAAAGAGTTCTTGAACGTTAACTGAATGGGTGACAAACAATACTGCTTCTACCTAACCCATAGGCAAAGTTCAAAAGTAATGGCATTTGATTAGATGCTAAGTATAAAAAGTTTATTAGAATTTTATCTTATACATATATATAAATATTTATATCACTCTTCACAAATTTCGGAATTAGAGTGGAATAGAGAGAACTCCTGAATGCTAAAGCATATTTGGTGCCTAAAATTAGGTAGCCAGCATCAAATCAAGTTGGCAGAAAGATTAACAAAATGAAAGCACAGCAGGGACAATCAACACCAACTCACCAAGCCTGATGGACTGATGAAGATGTTGGATTATTTTGTTTGATCATTCTTTCTACTTAATTTGCTCCTCCGTAGTTGAATTAATAATTTTCTTTTTTCTGGTATTAACTTGCAGATCTTGGTTGTCTTTATGGGCACTGTGGAAATAAGAGTACCAACCATTCGTGCTCTTTCCAGCCAGATTGTTGGCAAAGAAAGTTTAAACGGGCTGATTCTAATCCTACAGAGCAAGATGAACTCCTTTGCTCGGAAGGAAATTGAGAAGCAGTTTTCATTTAAGGTGGAGATTTTTCAAGTAAGTCAATTATATATACAACTTGCGTTGTTAATTGTTTCCACAATTGGTCTGTGTAGAGGCTCTCGCAAGTTGCTCTTTTTGCTTTGCTAACACTTGTTTAATGAAGAGTCCATCAATTCTGCTATGAAAATACTTCTTCTAATCTACAGAGAATATATAGTATAGTCTTCCTTTAAGACCATATGTTAATCTATGATTCTTAGCCGAATTTGTTCTTGAATGTGTTTTCTTTTTTCTTTATCAGCCTGAATGTGTTCTTGTTAATTGTAGAATATGCATGTTGGTTGGTTTGGCACGTACTTTTACTTTCCACTTAACAAATTAACTGATTCTACTCGTTTTAATAAATAGAAAGTGGTCTTCTTTGAGAGGAAACCACAACATACTTGCCTTCACAAGGATACAAAGTTGTGCTAGCTTAGAGTCACCTTCATCTCTCACTCCTGGACTTGTTCCTTGCAAAATTTATGTCTTCTAAGTTTCTAACATTATCCCCTATACCTTTTGTCTTTAGATCACTGACTTGTTAGCTAACATATCAAAGCACTTTTTGGTGCCAACACATGAGATACTGTCTTCTGAAGAGAAAAAGGAGCTGCTGAAGAAGCACCAGTTGGATGACAAGCAGGTAATCATGTATATAGTCTTTTTCTTTTTAGATGCAATTTTCAGGAGCAGATTTAATTTGTTGCCTGTGAGGTTTTGTTTTCTATATTGTAGCCATTAAGTGCTATGAATTTTGGTTGAATGATTGGCCAAACTAGTCATCTTTCTATCAGCTTCCCCAGTTGTTGCAAACTGATCCTATTGCCAAATACTATGGACTTGAGAAGGGGCAGGTGGTGAAGGTTACATATCCTGAGGAGCTTGTGAAGAACCTCGTTATTTACCGCTGTGTGGTGTGATGCTTCCATGAGAGCAAATTCTGTCGTTTTAACATTTCCATTCATTTCGGTTTCAAGTTCAATATGATACCTGTACAGCCAGGAAAATGACTTGTACATCACTTTTGGTATAAAATCGCAGCAGTTCAGCTGTTTCAACGTAGATATGTCCGAATTTTTCTTGACATCTAACAGGTTTAATCTTTAGTATCTTTCTCTTATATTATTAAAAATGGTTCAAGAACTAAACAAACAGGTGCAAGCGAGATCAATAAAATTTCACTGATACACGAAAATCAAGCAGAAAACCACACAAAATATTGTTACACAAACCAGACTTTCAAGACTTTTAATCAAGACAGGATACACGATTTCATCAACTTCAAATTCATTACAAGGTCCTGTTGCTTCCTAAAACTTTGAATTTCATAAGGAAAAGAAAATCCAGAGACTAGGCAATTTATTAATCCGCCAAGACTTATTATACGTCAACCCAAGTAGTTTGATGACATAAAACAACATCAGGTATTGTGGAGATCGGATGGCACACACGACACAAGCAAGTCGTCTCCTGAGAGTTCGTGCATGGATACAGTCTAAACAGTCTTTTGACAGAAGATACACATATAATCAAATACATATATGCTGACATAGGCAAGTCTACAGATCTTGATAATGTCCACGGCTCCATGACCCCTAGTTGATAGGTCCACTCAGCTGGCGATGATTGTTAATGCCCCACAACAACTTCATAAGGATCATGCCGGCTGACAAGGAAATAAAACCTCGGCATTACAAGTAAATCCGTCAAGCAGTGCAAAGAAAACATTTAATAGGCATGGAAGTAATAAAGAAAGGAATTACCCTTTAGAACTTTAGAATTACATGTTCTTCATTGTGAGGCTTCAACCTCAGCAATTCCACCTTCTGCAGGCCCAAAATTTGATGCATTCTCTGAAGTGTCAATGCAAGGGCTGTTTTCAAACTGATCAGCAGGCTGGGGATCAACCAATGAGCAAGGATTTTGAGGGCCTTTGAGAGTAATAATTGGTTTAGAACTCTCTGGCATGCCTCCCATGGGGTAGTTCATGAAACCTACAGTTTTGTGTTCACTTGAAAACTTGGTGGAAGCAGGTGATTCAGGCATCTCGGGATGCTTTCCAGACAACTCCAGAGGCCTATGGAAGAGCAAATGTGCCACTGTACGGTCTATTGGATTGGTCTCTGTTTCTGTGCCAGACATCCTGCACTTACACGAGGAAGGGAAAATAAAATTAAGTTGAGCTTCTCATACAAAATGCTTGTAACCGCAATAATGAATGTGCAAGCATAGGTGGATAAAGACAAGCAATACAGACAGCTCAACTAGACCTTGATCCCAAACTAGCCAAGAATGCCACCTGAATTCTTTTCATTAACTCCACAAAATGAAGAGCTATAATCCTTAAGTGATAAAAAAAAATGTTAAGTCTTTCTAATTTGAGAACACATCCATTATCCCATCTGTCAGGTGCAATCACCCATATTGCCTTCTAACTGACAGTAGGTCAGTGCCATAAAGAATAGGGGGGTCTTTATGGAATATGTCTAGTTTCAGGGAAATATTTGGTTAGTTTATGACAGGTAGATCAAACTTGGGATGGGTGACATGAAACAAGATCTCCTTTCAAATAAGAAATGCAACCGAATAGAATTCACTAACCTGTTATGGTTCTTGGTTTCTTCTATTGCAACTTCATTTTCATCCCTGCTGCCTTTGTTAGTCCTGCTTGTATCTATACTGTAGTGTCTCTGCATTGCACTTTGAGCCAACCGGAACAAGCTATCCCTCATACAAAGTCTAATTCTGATGTCCAACTGTAAAACATTGTTTTGGCAGGGTCACTAGTTCTGTCTTACTCTACAAGGAAAGAAACTTAGCAGCAAGTAATGCATACCTTTGAAATAATATCTTCAAGCCGGTAAAGTAAAGTTTCCTCGACTGAATAGTCATCAATTGCAACAGAAGTGGTATTAGAATCATCTTGTTCCATAGGTGAGAGTGGGTCCAATGAGGGAAGAGTACTAAGATCATCAACCTCGTTTCCCTCAACATGCGGGGTTTGATTTTCTTCGGCATACTTTTGAGAAATAGAGTGATCGGTGCAAGAAACTTGATGACTAAACTGCTTTTGTTGTTTCTGAATGGCAAGCAATGCTTGCATTTGCTGGCGTCGCCTTAACTTTTCAATTTTTTCTTGAGGTGTCATGGTCAAAGGTTTTGCAGGAGCCTTTGCTGACCTGTTTACAGCATTTGCCTTAGCAGGGGGGGCATCATAGGAAGAAACTACAGGTTGTTGTTTAAATTCCCCAGGCTGGATGCTGGATAGCACTGTCATCACAGGATATGGGGTTCTAAGATTTCTATATCCAGAAGGTACAACAAATGGAGTTGAAATTTGCTGGAATTGCAATGAGTCAGTTCCTTGGAGCTGCTTCTGCGGTCTCACAAATGGGGATGGAGAAGAATTTACCATGAAGGATTCCATTTGATCCTCATATTGACCCAATAAATTGCCAGATGGAGGCCAGGTATTATAGAAGTCTTGCAACATATTTCCTTCAACAATTTCATCAGACCCTTTTCGAAATTTCCATAGTTTCTTCTGCCCAAATTCCTGCACACAAGAAATATAGTTTACAAACATTATGAAGGTGGGGAAGAAAACAACAGCTAAATTTCAAAATGAACCACATTAAATGCCACTGGTGTTAAGAGTTGTGCAGGTCAATCACACTTCTTAACAATAACAAATTATTGCCTTAAATATAAGCAATCTCTATATTATTCCATAAGTAAAACATTGACAGATAATTAAGGGACTTTAACATATTGACAAGCAGTTCCTTTTTTTTTTTTGGATTGGAAAAAGTAGTAGCCATTAAAGAGATTTGCACCCCTGACCTTAACTCCAAAACAAGGGTTTGAAGTTAGTGGGTAACAACTCAGCTAAGCTCAAGTTCATAAATGTCAAACAAAATAGAAATTCCATGGATTCACACTAGAGTCATGAAAACAAAAACCACAAACAAAGATTAAACTGAATAATTGAGAATTCTGAGCATAACAGAATACATTATCTGCTAATTCATTAGAAGTTGTAAGGTTTTCAGCAGCAGGATCAGACTTTGATGTTGGGCCCTTTCCCCCAGTCTCTGCACCTGTCTGCAAAAATGAAATTAAGAAATATTCACATTGTGTTACTTGTCCAAGTTAAGAGTAGGAGGCATTAACAATTTTGATCACACAACACAATCATCTCATACCTGCTCCTTCTGGATGGATACATTTTTATCTGCAGGAGATTCCAAATTTTGCAGACTGTAAGGTGCAGGCTCATCTATTTTCCCATAGGCAAGGGTAAATGACTGGTTATCTTGTTGCTCATACTCTGTTTTAATTTGGAAATTTCCAGGTATGCTCCTCAATGCTCCTAAGCCCAGACTTGATGAGTCAGCAGTTGCAGGAAAGGCTTTTGCTGGGCTGTTAGTCACATCTTTAGATGAAGACCATAGCTCTTCAGCAGTTCCAAGATTTACATTACCAAATATTGGATCACCATTACTGCAAAACCATGACTTGTGAGAATATTGAGTCAGATGCATACCATCATGGATGGAAAGCAACGGGTAAAAGAGAAAGGAACATTAATGAAGTGAAGAAATGTAGTTATTCCTTCAACAATTAGGAAAGTTTTTGGTATGCTACCTAGTTTGAGGAACCTTTTCACAGACTCAGAAATAAATAACAACTAATGTAACCAAATGATGACCAAAGTTACCAAAACAGCAGCACTAGTTGTAAAATAATAGGGAACTAAATATAAGCCCGACTAAAATGATCACATATGCCAAGAGATCAACAGTCTTTAAATAGTAACAAAATGATTCACCATTTTTTCCTTCATCTTTTTCCTTGATTAAGGCATGGCTACTTTGTCAAATGATAATGGAAAATGAATATTCCATGAGATTACCAATACACTGGTTATCAATTTCAGAGTGCACGCTTCATTATTACCTGTTCATGAACAAGAAGAAAGATGAAGGGATTGTGCTTTACCTGAAAAAACGATCAAGGTCATCAAAGCTTCCAATGTTAGCCCAGCTATAGTCGACAAGATCACCTTGTTCTTTACCTTCATGGGGATCTTGAAAAAATTCAGGATCTTTATCAAGCCCACCAGTCTCTGCTGTTAAAGATCATGCATTATTTGAGAAAAAATATACAAGAAGTAGAAACAATGGAAAGACGACGTATTTGTCTCAGTTGCAAACTTTCTTACCACCACTTGTTGAACTATATTTGGTTATTTCAGCCAAATTGTTGGAAACTTCAGTGCCCAAGGAATCCTGATCAGTTTTGGGTACATTAGATAATGATAAATCAGGCCATGAGCCAACACCAATGCCAGGGGTGGAAATTCCTCCATCTATGTTTAAATTGGAGCCGCTCTCCAGCTTTCCCCCATGAACACCAAGTTTAGCACCACGTGTCTTTTGCTCACTAGGCTTGATGTTAGCAGTTTCTTGACTCCATTCCTTCTTGTTGCGATAATCTTCACTCCCCTCTTGAAAAGGCACAATATGGTCATCACTCTCACCAGCCTCATCCCATATTATATTAGTAAGCTGAAAAAAGGGCGTCAATATCCATGTCAATGTGACATACAGCAATGGGAGTAAATTGTGAAGCAGCCGTATATAATCTTAAAAACATTACTAATACTAATATAACTAGATTGTAGATAAAAGATGCAGCAAGGCTACGTCCATGATTGGATAGACTGTTCTGGCCTTTGGTGCCATCTGACACGACTTAGCGTAGGTAACTTCAATACAAGATTGATTCCGTGGAACAAAAAGATAGAAATTGTTTGGTTTGGTACTAATTTTTACTGGAAGGAGAGTATAGCAGCTTCTTGAATGGGAAGGGTAATAAAAAAAAGTGAAAAATATCATGTTTGGAAGTGCTGTGTAAGACCTTTCAAATTCTATGATACCTTTCTCTTATTAATATTCCTTTTACTTCACCACAAATTCACTAGAAAGCTCCTCATGTAAAATTGGTTTATTCTCAACTCAAAATTTGTTCCTATTCCTATGTAATATCTCACTGGCTTAATTTGACAATGAACTCTTCACTCCTTAATTTGAATCGGAACTGAAATCGTAGGACATGAAGACCGTCGGCAGAAAAAAGAATAGTTGTTGGAATTTCTAATCTAATATTCTCATCGTAAAGTATATTAAAAACCTCCAGAAACATCATTTTTAGAATTCACAGATCAAAATCTCAGAAGATAGTCATAGATCATTCCATTCACCAAAAAAAAAAAAAAAAAAAAGCATTGAAAAACACAAAACCAAAGCAATTTTTTGAGAACAAAGGAGAAAGAGGTAAGAGAAAATCTGACTTGATCAGATACACACTAATTTGCAAGGTTATTCCAATTCATCTAGAAAGATCTATAGCGGTTATTCCGATCCATCAACAAGAATGAAGACGTAGAGCTCTAGAACTCAGAAAATAAAAAAGTAAAAAAAGCAAAAATTAAGGAGAAGAAAACGGATCGATTTACCTCTTCGTCGTTCCAATCAAACATCTCTAAAGAAAGAGCAGGAAATCAGAGAATCAAATTCAAAGACGCGTTCACATATCATTAATCCACACATCGCCAATTCCAATTCCCCGGAAAAAGCAATTGAGATTGAATCGACGACGACGAAAGCATCAACCAGAGAAGAATTGCTCAAACTCGAATCAGACAGAGCAAAAAAAAAAAAAGCTTGAGTTACTGTAACACAGAGTTTTCCAGAAGAGAAAGGGCAACCGTAGAGCCGTAGAGGTAGAGGTAGAGGTAGAGGTAGAAAGGGGGTGGGGGGTGTCCACTTCACGTGATCTCACGTGCAAGGTGATTGGCAGATAAATCGACGCGTGTCAAGTGCGTATCTGAAATTGTGGTTGGAATTAGGCCGATCTATTGCTGCGACGTGATTGGTTGGCTTTTGCCAGTTGCGGATTTCAATTTCATTTGCATTTACATTTTATTTCTCCCAATCCCCAAATTTCGGTACAATTCGAGTGGCTCTGCGCGAGCTGCTTGCCTGCTCCCAATGCAATGTCAGAATGGGATGCACCTCTCTCTCTCCTACCGTACCACTCAGTTTTAACTTTTTTATTATTATTATTGGAGTATTTTCTTTTTAAATTTAAGAAAAAATAAAAAGCAGGACATTTTAATTTCTTTTAATGAAATTGTTTAAATATTTTTAATAAATTTTTTTACTTGTTAATTCATTAAGAATATTTTTATTTATTATATTATTTTTGACATTTTAAGTGGTAAACCATTTTGATTTTTCTTGATCTCTAAATTTAATATTAAGACAAAATCTTTTTTTTCACCCACTACTTTTTTTTTAAATATAAATTTATAATTCTTAATCAATTTTACTTAATTTTTATATAATTGTACTTATTTTAATTAATATGTTACTATATATATTTTTAAGATTATAAAAAATAAAAAAATTTATAATTACAATATAACGTAATATATAACTGACTATCAAAACCTACACTCTAAACTTTATGTATACGAACTCTAATACTAGGGTTGGACATTCTGGGTTCGGTTAAATCATAACTAAATGTTTGGTTAGTTAAATTTTTATAACCAATAACTAAACCAAATAATTTTGGTTTTATTGGTTTCAATTGCGTTTTTAAAAATAACCATTCCAATTGGGTTTAATTTTACCCAAAAAATTATTTCTATGTATTTTAATGATTTTTAAAATTTTTTAATTATTATTTTATTTAATTTGAATAGCTAAAAAACTAAAAAATACCCAAATAAATAGATATTTTGGTGAAAAGTTGTTAAAAAAATCTTGAAAAACTCTAAAAACCATTAAAATTTTATATAAAAGATTTTTGAGCTGTATTTTTTAATTATACTTAACATAATTATTGACTTTTAATTTTTAAACTTAATAACAAAAACTGAAATTGTTTAAAATTAATTTGGTTTGATTTTTAATCAAACAAACATCAAACCCAATCAAACCCTGCCCTCATGGTTTTGCCATTTTGTTTTTTTTCAGTTGCAGATTTTTCAGCCCATCCCTACCTAATACATTAAATATTAAATCTTAAAAAATCCAAACCCTAATATTATAAAATACTATATTTAAAAATTTTAAATCCTAATACATTAAATACTAAACCTTAAAAATAATCTAAATATGAAATTCTAAAATATCTAAATCCTAATACCTTAAATAATACTAATAACTTGTTGAGTCAAGTAGAAGAATTTTTTTTTAAAAAAAAAAATTTTAAATTTGAATCTTATCAATAGAAAGATAGACAATGGGAAAGCTTCTCCCTTCATAAAATCTAATTTGGCTTGATTATAAATTAATTGAGATTCAATATAACTTTTAAATATTAAATGATTTAGTAGAAAAAAAACCCTAAATATTGAAACATAAAAATTTTAAACTGTAACAACCTCAATTTAAATCGATTTTAAATTGTTTTCTAGTTACCATAATGGGTATGTTACATATTTGGTAATCTTTATTTTTTCCCATCTTGGTAGCATTCAAGGAAAGTTGATGACAGTGTTTTGTTTTGTGTTGGATATTTTCAACTCTTTTAATCAAGGTTTTGATAAGGATGTCAATTTTGTATTTTTATTTAAAAATGTTAATTTTATTAATTTTTAAATAAGAATACTAACTTTTAATTTTTTTACTTAAAGATGTTGACTTTCAATTTTTTTTATTTGAATATACAACTTTTAACTTTTTTATTTAATGATTAATTGAATGGTGTATAATGTTGAAAGTTGGCATCATTAAATATAAAATTTTAAAAGTTGATATTTTTATTTAAAAATTGAAAAACTTAATATTTTTAAATAGAAAAAATACAAAATCAACATCCTTATTTACATATTTTCTCTCTTTTAATCTAATTAAGGGATGTGTCCAAGTATAACTAGGAGTGTTCATATATGATCTAAAATTTCAAAACTATTAATTTGGCTAAAATTAAACCAAAGTAATCCAAATTGATGTCAATTATATTGGTTTGGATTATGAAAGTTAAAAACCAATACAATTGGTTTTATTTGTGGTTTTATTTTTAAACAAATCAAACCATATTTATAACATGATAATTTAATTGAATAATATAATCAATCTACTCCTTAAAATAATTGTGTTTTTGTTTTCATGTTAAACATTGATATGAATATGTTTTAGTTTAACACACTTTATAATACATTTATTTAAAAAATTATTATTATTTGATTTATAATAAAAGGCAGTCTAAATCATAAAAACTTAAAACTATAAATTTTAATAATTAAACTAATATGTGTCAATAAATGTGTTGAACCAAAAAAATATAATAATTATTTTCTTTTCCTATTTTATCCCAGAGCAGTACACCATAAGGCACTCCGTCCTTGTTATTATTTTTTTTCCCAATTATGCAACCATGATAAAAAGTGGGCAGTAAAGGATATATGAACTTTGCTTCCTTTTTTTTTAAAAAAATAAAAAAAAGAATATAAACTTTTTTAATTTTTAAATCAGCCAATAACCTTTTAATTTTTTTAAATAGGGATATAAATTTTGTAAATTTTCTATTTAATGTTTTATTAGATCAATAGTGCGTTTATACACCAACATCATTCCATAATAATTAATGAGCTAGTTGGTGTGAATGTATATTGATCAAAAAAAAAAAAAAATATAAACTTTTTTAATTTTTAAATCAGCCAATAACCTTTTAATTTTTTTCAATAAGGATATAAATTTTGTAAATTTTCTATTTAATGTTTTATTAGATCAATAGTGCGTTTATACACCAACATCATTCCATAATAATTAATGATTAATTAATGAGCTAGTTGGTGTAAATGTATGTTGATCCAAAAAAAAAAAAAAAAGTTGGTGTGAATGTATATATATGTTGCATGCACCAGCTTGTTGGGTTGGTCATTGGTGAGTGCATTTAGATATGGTGGTGTTTAAGGAGACTAATGCCAGGCTAGCAAATATCAGAAGCCGATATTCTTCACAATGCTATCAAAGACAAGGTGTTTAACCACGAACAAGTAATTAGGAATTAGGATAGTGAACACAAGCAGCAAGACTCAGCTCATGACAACTTTCAACATGATCATGCCCCTTCCATCACTGAGGTACATACACAGTTTCAGCTTTAAATTTCCATCTGATAAAACAGCACTTTTTGAATACTGTATTAATTAATTAATGGTACCTCTCTTTGTTAATTATATATTGTACTTGTCCAGAATTTGCAGGTGGGTGAATCGGGTGATTACTTCCTAAAAGCACTGCGCACTACAATTAATTAGAAGCATGGATGACACCAAAAAAACTTCTTTGAAAAGGTGAAACAGATCTCTCCAAAGTCCAAACCAAACTTGTGCATATATATATATATATATATGTGTGTGTGTGTTTCTTAATTTTTATAAATGAAAAAGGTGAAGTTATATTAATTTTAAAATTTTTGCATTATTAAACTACGTGTTGCGCATGCAATGCAATCAAAAGGCTTGGAACAGATGAAGATGGACTTACTCGAGCAGAGAAAGATTTGAAGGATATCAAGAAACTTTACCGCCAGAGAAACCGAGTCCCTCTTGAACAACCTGTTGCCAAGGACACCTCTGGTGACTACAACAACTCACTTTCCTTGGAAATTAAGGGATAAGATTGAATTCTTTGATTCAAGGCCATTTAATTCTGTTTCAATCTCTATTTCTGTAATCTGGTTCATGCTTATTGCTTGGTATGTTGTTTCAATCATTGTTTCTGTCATAAGAGAGTAACTTCTTATTCCAGTGACAACAGAATAATTCTACAGCAGTGTTATGTTGGAAAATATTTGCATTTAAATGTCAACAGCAACAACATTAACAAGGGACTCTTTGTTACCTGAACTAAATAATTTTAATTTTTAAGTGAACTTCAATAAAAATATTTGACAATACTTACTTTAAAATATTAAAAAAATCAATACTTATTACCGGAAAAGTGAATGTGATTTCATTTTCTACAGTAAAGAAAAAGGAAGATTCCATTCCCAACCGAAACTTTCAGCCCAAAAAAAATAAAAAATAAAATAAAAATCCCAACCTAAAATACTTACAAGCAGGGTTTTAGTTGAACATGTAACATGCTGATAGCTATAGTTTGTGCTTGATAAACACCAACTAAATATATATTAGAATGATTGCATGTTGGATTTGGATACAAGAAAGAGCGTAAATTCAACAAAAAAGAATCATCAAATTTTAGAAGACAAGTCAAAATTGAGAAGAAAAGGGAAAAACTATAGGGGGAAGAGTAAGCTTGACCAATCATGGTGTAGAACTGGCTACAAAAATCATAATGAAGAGATCAGTGGCTCTGTAAAGCTTGACGCAGGTTCTGCTCCAGTGAAACTCACAGGCTGCAAGAAGGGATGGCGATAGGCATACAAAGCATCTTCACATTTCGCTTCCTTCTCACCGTTTACATCATCAAGTTCATCATTTTCAACCGCATTCTGTCCATAAATAAAGGCAATCAAACTTAGCTTACAAAACGACTCGATCAAGTAACTCTTTGAATGTGTGTAATGAATCACCAACTTGAAAACTGTGGAAGTGGAAGGGATATGAATGACTAGTTGCAGTCACTGTGAATAGCTTCCTTTGATATTCATTCTTTTATGGCATAATCTAAGAATCATTAATCATTTGAGTCTCTATGCAGAAACTTGTACCAAACATTGTGAACAACCAAATGTACCTGGATGGAGAATTGCTGAAATGTAGGAAGAAAGCGCTTCTTACAGTACTCATTGAACGTGATAGTGACCAATAAGAGTGGAATGGTTGATATGGAACTAGCAGGCTTTTTCTTCAGTCCAAAGACACCAATCATAGTGATTTGCATCAGAACAATCGCAACAAACACATAATGATGAATAAATGGTCAGTATTTGCCAAATGTGTCATAGACAGTGTCATAGACATCCTGTATCTGCAGCATTTCATAAATTCCTTATTACTTATATAGGTTAAATGATCATGTTAATGGAAGAAAAAATGCTCACTTCAGTGAATGAAGTGTTTTCCATTTGGAACAAAAAAAAGTTAGAAAGTTGCTAAAAACTTCAATTTGCACAGTGCAAGCAACTAGCAAAGGAAATGACTTATTTGCACATGTCAGCTATATGACTACGCCAAGGAAAGAACAGCAAGATAAAGGGAAATGAGGAGGCCAGAAAATGCACTTCACATATCAAGGCAACCAGGAATATAGGAAAAGTCAGGTAGTTACCTGATTGATATACACAACATAGCCCAGGAGAAAATAGCCAACAAGAAATGGAAGAAGCAATGGAGCAATGACAGCATAGACCATACCAATCAGTATGGACAGAGAAACCATTGGGATGATTCTAAAGTAAGGCAGTGAAAAAAGATAGGGATTTTTCTCCTTTCCTCGGCCATATGTATGCATCTTCAGAAAATCCCATAACAATAAGCCAGGCTGAAGAATTTCGACAGAAAATCCTGAAAGCCCGTCTGCCAAGATGTATGTCATAAAAAAATCTGCCTGGAACGTGTAAATCAATAGGGAAATATATTAGACTGATTTCCCAATGAACTTGGGAAAAAATTCCTAACACGTAATACATTTATTTTCATAAAAGATTTTTTTTTTTTTTTGTATGACACTCTAAAGAAATAGAATGAGAAACACAACAGAAAGGAAAAGTGAACGTAATATGTCCAAGTCCAACCCATAAGTAACAGAAAAGAGAGTTTACTTGAGCAGAGACAGCATCAGCTAGATGAGTAGGAAAATCCTTAGGATGAGTAAAAGATTCGCCAATTTCATCAAACAAAGATCCAGATATCATGCTCAGAAAGAATACATTTCCCATGAGAAAATAGAAAACCATATTGCAAGCTTTGATCTCTGCTCTGCTATTTGAGATTGAACCACCTGCTTTAGCCATTGCAAGCATAGCAAATGGAACGACGTACAGAAATCCTTTAAGAATGGCACTCGGAAGGAACCCTGTTACAACAGAGGATAATCCTGGTCTGTTGCACAACAACTAATATATTAGGAAAAAGGTCAAGTAAAATTTAAGTAACAAATAATTTGAAAAAAAAAAAGGAACAATAAAAGATGAAGAAGGAATGCACCATGCAAAGTTCACTTAAAACAGTGAAGTCCAAATTGATTGCCCAACGATAAAAAAGAGAGACTCAGAAGTAAAATATTGTGTATTCATAATTAAGGAATAGTCTTTCATTTGGGAGTAAAGAAGAGCTGTTAGCATATATGAAAAGGATACTCATCCATCAATCTATCGTGGCTTAGAAGAATGCTTGGAAAAAGAAACCTTACATCAATTGTATGGCCATGGCTGGAGGGAACCATTTCTTTAGTTTCTCAAATTTGGCAATCCCTTGAACAGCTGTGACTGGGATTGCAAAGAAAATTGTGAGAAGTGATGCTGCAACAATGACTCCAATTTTGTGAAGAAACAAAAATTTGTAAGGAATTGCAAGATTCCTCCATGAAACGTCCTTGGGTTCTGGAGCCATTTCAGTGATCCACAGAAGTGGATTTGAGTGCTGCTGACTTTGAGCAGCTAGAGAAGCAGCCCACCTTGATCTGAATTTAACAAAGGCAACAGGCAACTCCTACAAAAGAGTATAAAACAAGTTAAGAATGTCCAATATTTATTTTTATCTGAAACATGATTTTATGTTTTTACCTTCTCTTTGAGCATATCTTCACTCTGTAATTGACGAATCTCATGATGGAGTTCATGACGCTTTTTGTCAAGAAGGGCTAGTTTCAGAAAATCATCTTGGCATTGTTGCTTGACTGCACACTTCTCTCTCAAATCCTCTATCTTTTTTTCAATATATTTAGCTTGGTTCTACAAGTAATATAATCTGTAAGAGGTCATTTTGAGAAAAACTGGAACAGTAGATTTCTTCTTGTTTAAAAATCAGTGGCATCTCATATCTCATTAATAGCAGGCATGCACGCATGCATGTGAAAGAAACCAGAAGAATGAAGAGAATTGTCAAACCTTACCACCAGATCTCTAATATGTTTTCCATCATATAACATTTGATAAGAATGATAACTGTGTGGGTAATGTTTAGAAAAGAAGTGCTCAACAGAACATCCACGAGCCTTGTGTTCAGAGCAGAATGGAATTTGCCTAACTAGAGTGGTAAATTGATCAGGACGGTGGCGCAGATTCTGTAGTTGTTGAATCCTTTTAACCAATATTTTGTCATATTCCTGGAGATGAAATGTAGTAGGTGATCACCTTTGTGCCAACAAATCTAAATGTAAAAATCCGAGTCAGATCGAAGCAACAGAACTTTTGCAAAAATCCACCATTATAATAACTTAGATTTGCTCACTAGAAACAATTTTCATCATGTCTTAAGAACTTGTAATTAAATAAATGGTTGGATATAGCCTGAGTATGCCCAAAGTAGTTGTATTTTCCCCGCTAATGGGGCAAGGATTGGAATATATTGAGCTTGCCTTTCTCCTAAAAAAGGGAAAAATAGTTGAAGATTTGAGTATGAAAAGCTTAATTACCTTATACAATAGGTACAGTGCATACATTGATATCAACCACAAGCAGACAAAGTGCACCCAAAGCCTGTGAAATTGCCAAAAAAGAAATGTCAACTACATTCAGCAGTCAGGCTGTCAATAGGAAGACTGTCTAAAAGGCATGCACCTTGCTTAAGATTACAAATAAAATTAATTATTGCCTCATGTGTTCCAGGTATATGTAGTTAGAGACAGAGTTACCTGTGCCAATGCACCAGTGTAACAAGCATGGTTATTGTTCAGAAGAAGCTTACCTTATCCAGTATATGTTGAGGTGATTTTCTGGTTATTATTACGTTAGAATAATAAGACATGGTTTTGAAAAGTTGCAAATCTTGCATACCTACTTCTTAATATATAAAAGAAAAAGAACCAACAACTGAAATCTTTCCAATTGCAATGTTTGAGAGAAGAATAAAAGAAAGTGTGATTGCACTGTACCAGTTTGAACCTCTTTCGATGTTTGATATTGTATAAGCATCCATGCAATGGTGGCTTGTAGATTCTCCACCCTGTCCATTGTAATTAATTGGGACGAGTACCACCAATCCAACAAGGGAGCAAACAGAAAAGAATTTCATACTGTAAAACAAGCATGGTGAATTACAAGGTATGAGAAAGCTGTCAAGAACACCATATAATGGAAAAACAAGACAACCTTGCTCAAAAATTTCAAACTATTACAATGGCTGGGCTAGCTATGTCAAAAATGTTTCTTAGAAAAGTTCAAGCTAATTGTGAGAAACATAAATACCCCATATAAATACATATATCAATCAAACAAGGTTGCTTGCAACAATAATGAAATGCCCATAAATAAAACCTACTCTATTAAAATCAAACCATGAAAAAAAAATTATAAAATTGAACTAAAACATATAGAGGAATAGATATGATTGGATGATCGATGTACGTAGTCTGACCCGAACTTGAAGAGTCTGAAAACGACGAAGGCGTCGAGACCGCTGGTTTGGAGAATTTCATCTTCAGTGACGCGAAAAGCGCGAGGGATCCAGGAGACGGAAGGAAGAAATCGGGATAAGGTGAGAGAATGATGAAAGAGAAGGCGGTGGCGTTTGGCAAGACGCTGAGCGTAGTAAATGGAGGCATTTGAGGGCTGCTTCTTGAAGATGGAGAAGAGCGAGAGAACTATCACTGCCAAGCCTATGTTAATGGCTGCAGCAGCAAGAAGACTCTGCCAATTCATGGCTAGCTGCAGCCTGTAGGAGGAGGAGGAGGAGGAGGGAGAAGACTCCGCAGGAAAGAAAGAGAGACAACTAGCTAGAGAAAAACAAACAACTAAAAATTTATGCCACCTGGATCAGCTTCTACATGGCACTGCTGCATGTAAAGCGCGCGTAACTTACGGTTTTTTGCTGCGTATTTATAGTATATATAGCTTCTTCAACGGAACAGAACGCTGAAAATTTGGAAAAGATCACCATTATTCTAAACGGGACAATACAAGGCTGCATTATTTTTAATTCTTTGGTCACCATTCTTAACGGGAATGATGGATCCAGTCGCTTAATTTCAAGCAGATCATTGGCTAGCTGCAACTTCATGATCTAGTTGGTTGCTTGTGGATGCATTTTGTCAAGTTGATCATGATGTGGATTGGTTAATTACTGCATGCTTTTGTTAAAAGCACATTTTGTTTTTTAAATGGAAACGATTTGGTAGCAAAGGCATCAGATCCATTATAAAAGTTCTAGAAACAGGGAACATAAATTGAAGACTCAGGAGAATCAACTGTGTGGATGTTAGCCAGAGAGGATATATTCTTAGAGTTGATGAGAGTAGAGTATACTACATGGGGAATCTGGTCAGATGATATATCTAGCGCAGAATGGTGACCCTAGATTGAGACCAGCCATTGCAAAACTATTGGCGCAGCTGCTTCATCTCTTGCAAGCTCAATCTAGTTACTATACTGAGACTATTCCTACTTTTTTCATGACACCAGCATGGCATTAATTAAATATATTAATTTCTACTTAAGTTTGTTTTATACATTCATATGTTACTTGTTTCCTTGGAATATATCTTCATTTTCCCCCAATTTCTTGTATCTAATTTTGGATGAACAATAAGAGAATCGATCACTGCAAAAGTGAGCTAGCTGATAACATAATTCAACACATGCTTTTATTGATGAAAATCACACATCTGTATATGTGTCCGCATACAACTCAATAGTAGTAGAGGATGACATAAATTGGCTGTGTCTTCTGTGAACGGAATTAATTGCACAGCCTCCTCTATGTTAATTGAAACAAGACTCGCACAGCCAGCAACAGCACAAACCAAAGAGGCTGCAATTGAATCGAGATGGGGAAAATTAAAAGAAAAAAAAAAAATTTGTTCAACTCAAGAGTTTCTTCATTACCTTGAAATTAGTAAAGTAATTGTGTAAAATAAATAATAAAATTTATATGAGTGGAAATTATTGGAAGTACCATCCTTCAATAAAGCTTCTATTCCTCCTGCCCTCTTTAGATGTTGAATACTGAGGCCAACACGCGCTTCTTCCTGTTTGGTTTTTGCAGACCATAAGAAACACAAGTGTTCTCAGAAAAACTCTTATGAAAATTGAGAAAGAGTACGAGGCAAAGAGAAGTGATCAGACAAAAGAGGAAGAGATCTAGTAAGAGAAACCTGTCTCAGGTTGGTTCTTGATGCCCGTTCCTTCTGAATTTTTGTGGCCTGCCATACTTGGAGAAACAGATCAGCAAAGGCTCCAAGGTAATAAATGATACTGCTGTGCTGCATTTTTACTCTAATGTATAGTTTCCTTAAATACTACTATCTATGTGTTTGCTGGTTGACACTATTCAAGATGCTTTTCTCGAATGCGCTTATGTTCTGAGAATCAGACTGATGCCTGCAGCTTTCTAAAATAACATGAATTCTTTTGCAAATTGCAACCAAAGAAAACGAGGAATAACTTCCTAAAGGAACTAAACATTGTATTAATTAAACTGCTAAAAGGGACGACAGCAGCCTACAATTGTGATAAGTTACAGTAATAATTTAAGCTTTTATGTCGTAATTTTTGGAGTTTTTTTCACTTTGTAAGTTTTTATTCTTTCCGTGATAAATTTGCATGGTGAATAAGAAAAACAATAAGGAAACTCAACAGGATGAAAGAATGATTTTGATCTAATTTTTGAAAGATAAAAACGGCATCTATACTTTTCTTTTTCTTTTTCTTTTGGCATCATATCTGTAATCTGAAGGCATAAATGCGGATTCTTTTTTATTATTTATTTTATTATTTATTTTATTGTTATTATTATTATTTTGGCTTTTGGCATCAAGTTTTTACACTTTACTGAATTTGGAGCTATGTCCTCCATGTTGTTGATGGGCAGTCTCTTTGTGATCTCCAGGGACATGAAGCACATTTCATGCATGTAATTGCAAGTATGGAATGTTTTCCTACTTATCAGCCTGAAGAAGAAAATACATTATGTTTCTTCTGCCTCTGGTGCTATTCAACTCTGGGAGAGTGACCGATACAACTATCATGTAGATCTGGCGCTGAATCTAGTATGTTGTTGAAGAATGAAGAATTGCTGTCTGTAATTAAAGCATTATTACCGTATAAATTAAGAGCAGAACAGAACAACCATTAGCTGTTTGTAAATTTTACTTGGAAGAGACTGACTCTCGCATTCATATCTTGGATTAAAATCTTAGAGCTGTTTCCATATTAATAGGCCTGTAATTAGTAGAATAGGCATTTTGTATTTTCTAGGCTTGATTTCCACTGTATACATACGTTCTTGTGAGTAGCAGATTGATTTTCTTCTTATCAATTGACATCAGGAAGGCTCCATCTATTGTGGCCAGGCTTGATTTGTGTATGGTATACCATTATCAGTGTGAATTTGTTCTCTAAAGTGTAAATGCCACAAGAATTTTTTTTTTTTTTGTTTTCTTTCTTCTTTTTCTTAAGATTAGCTTTAAGTTCCCTCTTTTAAACTTACCAATTAAACAATTCTCATTTCCTTAATAACAAATACCAGAACAATAAGTTTGTAAAATTACCTTATTAATGAATTTCATATGGGAAACATTATGTTGGCCTGCACTGCACACCTTAATCTAGATGAAATGACTGAATCGACCTTCAAATATATTAGCCAAGCCAAAAGGGGGGAGGAGGTGCAAGGGTGACATTGTTTGTTAACAAATATATATGAAGGATGAGGAGTTGGTTGGGCATGTCTTTTTGAGTGAGATGCAATTTACAAACGCACGCCTTAAACAATATTTGGGAGTTGTTGGATGCATTAGGAATAAGAAATGGGAGAAGAAAAGTACTTTTTCCAACTCCAAAACAGCAAATACATATGTGCCAGGCCCCCATCTGCCAACTCCTTCTGCTTCTCCTTATAGCAGCAAATCTCACTGCCCCAACCATGTATGTATGATTAAAATTAATTATCAGTGGTTAATTTTCAAATCCAACATATTATGAGGTGCCTAATTGTTAACATATGAGTTATGATTGAGAGATGAAAAATATGGGACTCTTTGGGGTACTCGACTCTTTTATTTACTGCAAAGAAGAGTCCTCATCGTGAACAAGTAGCAGTAAATTGATAAACATAAAAATTCTAGACTTGGATAAAAGATATAGATTGCTTTCTCTCATACAACAAGCAGCAGATCCATGATCTCTCCCTTACAAACCAACATTTTCGTCATCATCCAATAAAATCATATGCATACTCAAGATTACAATAGTCAATTAGGGATGGTGGCTTCTGCTTGCTTGATGCTATTCTTCTCATAGTAATGGTAGGCTGCTGCACCAGACAGAACTGCCAGTGTTAAGGCTTGTGCGTGCAACCTGGCATGGATAAGCCTGAGACTTGGCTTGAGAGGAGTTCTTGCACGGGTGTTGCAAGCCAGAGATGCCCCAATTGCTGATGCCCAAATTGCTCCTGTAAAATTAAAACCCCATTTCAATGTATCATTGATAATGAATGAAAGAAAGTGAACTATATTACTAATAATAGATATAAACTGACCAATGCTGGTGAGCTTGTGTTCTGAGACCCATGACTGGATTGCCTCCATCTTCTTGCTTCTTGGTGTTATTTGACTGGTCCTAATTATGAATTGAGTGCAAGACTGAGAGTGGGGAGATGGGTATTTATGCAAGTAGAAAAACCAGAAGATGTGGCCCCTGGATTTGTCCATTCACTTTTTCTTGGAACACTGGATGGGGTCAAACCAGAGGCTTTTTGACAAGACCGGTTCAGATCTTGCAGTATGTTGCTCTTTTCACGTGTTCCAATTTCCAAACAACCTGTGGGCAGTAAGTCGTTGGAGACCACAATTCACGCACCATCAATTCTTGACCCTCCTATTTTGTTTTATAAAATAAGATCCCATGTTTATCTCCATACATAAATCAGCGTGCTACATCCAAAAAAAACCTATTACTAGTAATCAGCGTGCTTAGTCGACAAAAAGTATGGAATCCGCAGGTGGACACGTACCCGATGTGTCTTAAAAAAAGAAAATGGACAGCAAAGATTTCTCAAAATAGGTGACCTAAACATCACCATACCACAATTAAGGAAAATATTATTGGCCAGAATTCCTATTTGCATCCTCTATTTATTTTTTTTTCGCGGTCAACACCTTTCAAAATTTTTCTTCCCTATTCACACCCTCCACTTTTCAAAACCCGTGAAAAACCTAATATTTTAACGGACCGTCACGGAACCGTTAATAACCATTAAAAATTGTAATACGTGACATCAAACAGTAACATAATCTAATGTGGATTTTTGTTTGATGATATGACATAATAAAATCATAATTAATTTTAATTTTTTCATTTTCTTCTTTCCCGCATCATCTTTACCATCTTCCTCTTCATCTTCCTGGGTTCCTCATGGAACCAAGTATCCAAAACTTTTTTTTTATAATGTGTTATAATTAAATCATCATTAATTTTAATTTCTTCATTTTCTTCTTTCTCGACATCATCTTCACCATCCTCATACCCTAGGTTCCTCGCAAAACCCAGGTTCTGAGTTCTTCGTAGAACCTAATTTCACATGAATGCAAGCTAAGATTTTCATCCATACAATTATAAATAAATGAATACTGCACAAAAACATGATAAGCATCTTTTACTCATTTCCCACAAAAAACAAAAATTGGCAACCTATTCAGAAACAATCTCCTAGCAAAAAAACTCACTTTTTCAACAAAAAAAAAATTATTCCAAATTATTTTGCATAAAATCGAAAGTTAAGATAAATACATTTAAAATAAAATAAAATAAAATAAAAAAGGAGATTGGAACTGGGTTCCCGCGCAGGAACCCGAACTGGGTTTCGCGCAGGAACCCATTGAGAAAGAAGAGGATGGTGAAGATGGAGGGCGGTGAAGATGACGCCGAAGATGAGGGGGGAAAGAAAAAAAAAAAAGAAAAAATGCCATTTATGTAACTGTTTGGTAATATTATAATTTTTTATTATTTTTACTGTATACATGGCGTCCACATTAGATTACTAACGTTACATAGTGCTACGTCAATTTTTGGGTGTCACGTAATATATTTTTTAACGGGACCGTGACAGCCCGTTAAAATATTGATTTTTTCACGGGTTTTGAAAAATAGAGGGTCTAAATAGGGAGGAAAAATTCTGGAAGGTGTTGACCACAGAAAAAAAATAAATGGAGGGTGCAAATAGGGGCTTTGACCAATATTATTCTCAAGAGAGAACATGAAAAATATTAGCAAAATGGAAAGTATTATTCCAGGTGTCTGTATGGAATAAAATCGGTTGCCTTACTCAGGACACAAAGATCTTTTCTTTTTTATTAACCTTAAATATTTAAAAACCATATTAAGTTTTGTCAAATTTAAGTGTCTGTATGGAATTAAATCGGTTGCCTTACTCAGGACACAAAGATTTTTTCTTTTTTATTAACCTTAAATATTTAAA